GAGGCAGAGTTGCTCTGCCCTGGGCTTCCTGGAATCAGCTGCTGATCAGTTTCAGCAGCAGCTGACTTGGGGACACCTGGGATTCTTAAGTTGAATCTGTATGTAAGAACTGGTGTCCAGATTCAGCCTGTTGAAACTGATCAGCGGCTGATTCCAGGAAGCCCGGGGCAGAGCAACTCTGCCTCGGGCTTCCTGTAGTCAGCCGCTGGTCAGTTTCAGTAGCGGCTCAATCTGGATGCCAGTTCCGACTTACATACAGATTCAACTTAAGAACAAACCTACAGTCCCTATCTTGTACGTAACCCGGGGACTGCCTGTAATCATTAGGATTGACTGGTGATCCAGGTTTATCGCTTAATTATGTAAACTAGTACATGCTAATATACCTAGTTCATTCACTCTTCCACAACAGGTATGCTATTATGTGAGTATTTCAAATCATGACTAAAGGACTGCATTACAAAGGTAGTACAATTTGGCTCACAAAAACTAAGAATGCAATACTCCCAGAGGCAAATGAACACTATTTGGTTCTTCTCATATTTCAAGCCATGTCAGGGTTTTAAAAATGGTTCTTCAGAAGTGACAATGCCCACCAAGGTACTTTACAATAGGAAGTTTCTAATAGGTCAAATGAGCACATAAATTTATTTCTGAGCAGGATAATCTTTCTATAGATTATTCTCTTAAAAATGTATTTATACACCCTTATGGTAAACTTAATTACTATGCATTTATCTGGTACATCAGATGATCTGTCAATCAAATCCTACAAATACCACAAAGACTACCACACTTAGGCCTTTTTAAGAACTAAATGATAGTGATGAACTGACACAACTGTGTATTGTATACTACATAACTGACAAACATGCACCTCTATGGCTCAGGATATAACAGTAAAAACACTGACTATCCTTGTGAAAACACTACCTATATCCTTGTGAGGAAAGCTCATGTTTACATGAAATGGCCTTGAAAATAAAGAATTAACATGACACTATACTTAAGTAACCAGAAGAAATGTTCATTTCCAATTACTACTTAAGATTCAAAGTTCTATTAATAAATGTGACTAAAAAGCTGTTTAAAAAAATAGATTCAGGTTACTTTACCCATAGTACCTTATTTTTAAGTATGTATCCCAATTCATATCTATTTGTTTATTAATCATTTGTGTGCACTAATGCCAATATTCAACATTGCAAAAGCAAACAAATATTGAAGAGTAACTTATACTGAAAATGTTGTCAACAAATTCATCTATATGGTTATATATTTGTTTGTAATGATTATGAAAAGATACCATCAGGAAGAACTCAATTTGATTTTTGAACAAGCTGTGCCTTAATAAAACCTTTAAGGCTTGTTAACCTATTTGATACAGAAGTCATTGACAGAGTATGGAAGACTAAAATAGCAATTTTTACATTTATTTTTCTGAATGCTACTGAATTCAGCTATCAGTCATGTCATAGCTAGTAAAAGAGAGTTAGGTATACATGTTTAATAGAAAAGTCTTTTGTAACCAGCAGTTTCTAGTAATGACTAGCACTTCAGTCCTTTCCAGATTATTTCTGCATTTAGGTATTTCATACTTGAATTTTCCTCACAATTCATGATCTTGTCTGCCTCCTGCTGTATTCAAACACAAATGCAAAAGTTGACATTCAGCTTGCCTTGTAGAAGTATAGCTTGGGCTGGAGGGGGGGAACAAAGTGTGTTATATTTAGGATTATTTTTTAAGTCTCCTAGCCAGCTATATTTTGCTGTCTTACTTTAAAACTAATACGCATTTACAGGCTTATTTTTAACACAGAATAACTGTGACGTGTACTAAGTTAAAAACATAACTATAAATGTGGTTTAGATTTTAGTCAGAGGCCTTTATTAAGAAATTCAATTGTTCAGTATATTTTGCTCTAAAAAAACCTTCACACAATGTATGATTATTTTTCTATAACATACTGACAATCTAGCAATAAAAACTATTTCTAGTACATCAACAGTTTCAGGTGGAATAAAAGAGAAACAAGGTGGGGGATGTAAACTCTTTTGTTACTGATATCTGTCGGTGACTGAGAAGCTTTCAAGTTATGAAGAACTCTTCCTCAGGTCCAGGAAAGTACTTCGCATCACAACTGGAGAAGCCTCTGTCCGAGGAGCTCGGACCTCCCTGCAGACAAGGGTGGCTGCCACAGAGCATCCTCTGTCTGCAGCGAGCCCAGGCCCACTGCAGCCAGAGGTTGTTCTATGGCAGCCTCCCCTGACCCCCACCTTTGCACTGTTATTTCTGATAGATCTAGAGAAGTGATTATTCCCCTTTATTCAGCTCTGGTGAGGCCACACCTGGAGTATTGTGTCCAGTTCTGGGCCCTCCACTATAGAAAGGATATGGACGCATTGGAGACAGTCCAACTGAGAGTGACCAAAATGATTAAGGGGCTGGAGCGCATGACCTATGAAGAGAGGTTGAGGGACTTGGGTTTGTTTAGTTTGCAGAAGAGAAGAGGGGAGATTTAATAGCAGCCTTCAACTTCCTGATGGGAGGTTCCAAAGAGGATCGAGAGAGGCTGTTCACAGTAGTGACGGATGGCAGAACAAGGAACAACAGTTTCAAGTTACAGTGGGAGAGGTCTAGGTTGGACATTAGGTAAAACTATTTCACTAGGAGAGTGGTGAAGTACTGGAATGGGTTATCCAAGGAGGTGGTAGAAACTCCATCCCTAGAGTTTTTGAGTCTCGGCTTGACAAAAGCCCTGGCTGGGTTGATTAGTTGGGATTGGTCCTGCCTTTGGCAGGAGGCTGGACCTGAAGACCTCCTGAGGTCTCCTCCAGCTCTATGATTCTAAATACCTAGCTCAACATGTGGTCTAACTCTTCCAGAGCACTGTATGTCCCAATAACTATTGTGCAGACAAAAACAGAAAGGCAATCAAGATAGTCTTGCATGAACTCATATAGAAAAACAGTAAGAGAAAAACATATCACTCGTCGGTAAACACTCGTCACAAAATGATCTGTCTATATCTGACCTAACAGTCCTCATCTTCAAAGGAAACCTACACAACACTTTCAAAAGACAAGCCTGGGAGCTGAAATGCATAACTTTGCTAGATGCTATCAACCATGGCTTTGATGAAGACACTTGACTTATGGCAACAAATCTGCAACTCACAAAATCCCTTTTTTTGTTTTATGACTCCTGGGTGTTAACAGGTCACTTACTTTGAAAGGTCCCTTAGCGTATGTGCTCACTTCTTATGCTGAATTAGCTGATCAAACTTATATTTAACTGTGACATTAAATCTCCGAGTCCCTGAGGAAGAACTCTTCGTAGCCCAAAAGCTTGTCTCTCACCAATGGAGATTGGTCCAATGAAAGATTATCCCTCACCCACCTTGTGCCTCTAATATTCTCAGGCTACAACCTTGTTTATTACTATTTACTAATTTTATATTGTGTTATGCATTAAAAAGTTCCCATCATAAGAGGTATAATTCCCCTTCTATTTACTGTTATGATTTAAAAAAAAAAAAAAAAAAAAAAAAAAAAAAACATTTCTCAGTGCACATAAGTAACCACATGAAGCAAAATTCACTTTTATGTTCAGGTTTGCATATACAATACTCGTCATGATAAGTGTGCATCTAATTTAGTTTTTTTTAATATTGTCCCATGTTCCAGCCACTTTATATAATATTTATTACTTAAGTTATCGCTGTGTGCGAAATAAGAGTTAATTTTTTTCTTCCTACAGAGATAATATGCAATCCCTGCACTGCTAAACTTGATTCTAAAAGAACAGCTACTATGGTTGCCACTAAAATCTTTACAATTACTGTTTGCCATAATATTAATTGCTTGCAACATGGCTTGTACTAATTATAGATGATACATTATAGTAGTATTTGTGCTTAGTTCAAAAAAGTCAAAATTGTAAAGGATCTGACAACAATGACTGTACTGTTCAGTACTAGAAAAATAATTCTTTGTAACCATTATCAGCTCTCTCTTGTTAGTGCATTTCATCATGTATAGCTTGTAAGCTGCTTTAGAAAGGAAACTCATGGTCTTTATTTTACAGACAGGGAAACTATGGAACAGATGTGAAATGACTTGGAGCAAGGCATTTCTCCATCTACCCAGCACTGCCTGGGACAGAACAGAAAAAAGAAATCGGGTCTAGGCATGTGACAATAATGCCGCTTGGAGACCTAGAGGCACAGTACTTTCTGTTTTTTTAAATCAAGTAATCAATCCTATTCTCTTATAGGCTCTTATCAAAAGCCTACTGAAATCAATGAGAATCTTTCCACTGACAACAGTCTTTGGATTAGGCCTATAATTAGCTAATTCACCACTGTGAAGCATATGTGATCATTTTTATAACTACTGAAAGTGATGCTTCAAGATTGACAATAAACAGCCCTTTCTAATAAGTGTGTCAGCATCCTCTTCCAAGGAAATAGCCTGTTTTCATTGATCAGGCCCCTCTATCTCAGTAGCATCATTCACATTCAGGTCAGCTAATAAATAATCAAGATGAGAATCCATGCTGTTCAGACTTATTGTAACTACACAGAAACTTCTATACTACTAAATGATACAGGTTGCACCTCCCTAAACCAGGACTTTCTGGTCTGGCAACATCCATGCTTGGAAGACCAGTAGCTGAAAGCCCTGTGCAAGGCAAGGCTGGTGGTAGCGGGGCCAGGAATAAGCAGCTCGGCAACCCAGCTGGGGCTAAGGCAGTCCATGCATGCTGACCTGGCATTGGGGCTGTGCTGAGACAACCTGATGTGGGCTGCATGCTGGTCTGGCTGTGGGGAAAGCAGTGCCAGCCTGGCCACGGCAGCCCCGCAGGGGAAGCTCGTTTGCGGATGCGGTAACCCAGCTGGGGCCACAGCAGGTCAGCAGTTATGGTAGCAGGTTGGCTGCCGAGCCAGCTGAAGCAGCAGTTATGGTAGTAGGGGCAGGGAAGCTGTGTAGTCCAGCCAGGAGCAGGGACAGGAAGCAGGTTGAGGGGAAGAGGACCTTCCCAGAGGATTGCTCAGGTCCCAAGGGTGCCAGACCAGGGAGGTCCAACCTGTATACCTTTATGACTCTTGCTCAGAGTAATAAGTGTTAAGATATTATCATTATTATGTAACATCAAATTTATCATTGAATCAATGTTCATGTTGGCTCTAGAAGAAGTGGCCTTCAGTAGTGCTAAACATTATTAAATATCTTACAGGGTTTGGAATAACATTTTAGAAAGCTATATTATCTGTCAACAGCAGATTTTCATAAAATCAGTTGAAAGGAGCAAGGTGAAATACAGGTTGAACCTCTAAAATCCAGTACTCTCTGGCCAGGCAACATCTGTGGTCTATCAGGCTGGGCTGGCAGTGGGGAGCTCAGCCCCAGCAGGGCCGCGCATGGGAGAGCACAGTCCTGGCTAGGGCCAGTAGCAAGGAGCACAGCCTGAGCCAGGAGAGAAGGTAGCAGGGTCGGTGGCCAGTGGTGCAGCCTCGGCTGGGGCTGGCACTGTGAGAAGCATAGCCTCAGTCAGGGCTGGTGTGGTCCAGAAGTGCAGTCTAGTGGCAGGGACCTCAGCCTCAACTAGGGATGTTAAGTATCAGTTAATTGAATAGTTGAGTAACCTCACAAATTTTTATCCATTGGTGGACTATGCTATAGTCCCTGGGGGCAGAGCCGGCAGCCAGTGTGCTCCTGGACTCACTCCCGAGGAGTCCCCTGCCACCTTGTGCTGCTGCCTGCGCTACCCTTGCTGCCTGTTGTCCTGTGGTGTGTGGTGTCCTGTGTGATGAAGAGGCAGCAATATGGGGTGGCAGCAGCCCCTGTCTAGGGGGGTTCTGAGCTCCCAGATAGGCATGAGCTGGGACTGAGCCGGACTGTCTGCTCACCTGGCTCCTAATACACTTGAAATGCAGAGCTGCTTCAGGGGTTGGCCCTGGATCCATTGCAAAGCAGGACTGAGCTGGGCTGCTTACCAGCCTGCTAAAAAATTTACTGGCAGGGGGGGAGGAGGAGGACAATATGTGTAGTCTATAGCATTAACCTATAAGCTTTTGCTTCTTGGTTAACTGACTTCACTATTACATCCCTAGCCCCAGCTGGGGCTCGAGTCAGCTGGGCACGCAGCCCAGACCAGCATCATGGTGAGGGTGCAGTGGGGACAACCGCAATCCAGGACTGGCATGGTGGGGGACACAGCCCCAGAGAGGCTTGGAACCATGTGGGACTGGAGACAGCGGTAGGCAGCAGGGAATGCAGCCCCACTGGCAGCAGAGCCTACAGCTACAGGTAGGAAGCCTTGACCTCCCCTCGTCTGCCAAACCCCGTTGTTCGGGACAATTCAGGTCCCGAGGGTTCTTGACAAGGGAGGTTCAACCTCTACTAATACTTACTGGTACACTATTAAGCCAGTTCAAAGTGTTTCATGTGACTATATTCAACCAGTGCAGAAATACTAACCTTCACAAGATTCTTCCTGATATGCAGTAGGTAAACATCTCCATTACACAGATGAATAATGTGAGCCACAAACAATATATAGCTCTAGGTTTCTCTTCAACTAAGCATTAGAAGAGGAGAAATCAGAGTTCCAGTCTCAAGTATTAGATACTAAAGAACAGTCCGTCTGAACTATAGTTAGGCTGGCCAGGATTTGATTTGAACAGTTAGTTCTCAGTAAACATTGTACCACCTGACAGTGAAATTGATTAAAAAAAAACACACACACAACCCAGTAGTTATATTTGCAAGCACAACCTCCTGCAAACTTTGGACCTACAAGAAATCAGCTCCACAGACAACTTCCCACAACCCCACTGTCATAGTCCCACTCACTCACACAACAGCTAGGCGTGTGGGGACCATCCCTAGAAAGAAGGCATTCAGTAAGAGGGCGGCTTCCCTCAGTTGCATCTGCTCTGCCCTGCCAAAGTGGCAGCTTTCTGTGCACCTTGCAGCTGCAAAGATCCAGTGTCACCAGTACTGGACATAGCAGACCCCTGCAGCTCCAGTGTGAAACTGGAAATTTATTTAAATAGAAAAAATAAAATTAAAAAGAGAAATCAATAGAGTAAACTTCCGATAATCCAGCACCTTTAGGAGCCAGGGGATGCCTGATTATCAGATATGCCGGACTATCGGAAGGGGGGGGGCTATGAAGGGTCTGGGGTGGGAGGGATGGGGAGGTGGCACTGCAGGACCAACCTGGCAGCACCCCAGCTGCTCTGCCCCGGGAATCCCCAAGTCAGACGCTGCTGAAACTGACCAGTGGCTGACTCTGGGAATCCGGGGCAGAGCAGCTCCAATTGTCTGGCTGCCTGGAGCACTTGCTGGTTCCAGGTGGTGCTGGACTAGCAGGAGTGCCGGACCACTGGATGCCAGACAACTGGAGTTTTACTGTATTCACAATTGAATTACCAAATAACATCATCAAATTCTTCCAGGCCTCATTATAGACATTTACATTTTCCACCTCATTCTTTTTGTGCAAAAGTAAATTGCAACAAAAGTGTTTATGTTTTCAACAGCTAAAGCTTTTGATACATTAATGAGGTAATATCAGCATGTTCGAAAGATGAGGCTTGTACTAAAATAAGGAGCAGCTTAGCTGAACTACAATGAATTCGAGCCTCTGTAAGTAAACCATTACAAAAACACACACACACACACACACACACACACCCCACAATAACTTTAGACCAGGTTAAAGACACTGTAGCTAATAAAAACAGGAAAGCACTCACTTTTTGATTTCTCGCAGGAGCATTCGAATGAGGATGGTTTGCAGTGGCTCAATCATTAATTTCCTCCACATATCTAATGCTAGCTATCAAAATACAAATACCACAGAAAAGTTATCCCATAATAAATAAGTTCTTTAAAAATCCACAAACTGAAGCAAGATCTAAGAAGGTATTAACAGCACTCCCATTATTTTTTCCATTCCTAATTCCTTCCTTTGACAAATCCCAGGTCTACTTTATCAACGATATTTTACCCAGAGCCATACCTATTTGGATTTCTCCCAGCCACAGGTTCTGCTCATTTTATTTTGCTTTTCAGGTAAGTAACTGACAAGTCCTCTATAAAACTTTTTAACCTGATTTTCCAAGGTGCCAAATACTTGGAATACTACCACTGAAAGTCAAGCTATAGATTTTTAAAATTAAAAAGGTGTATAATCATGGTTTAAAAACACAACTGAAATATACAAGGTGTTATGTACCGTTTATGTTCACTCCTTATAATTACTTTCAGAGGCACTTATCAATGCCTGTCAATGGGGGAGAGAAGAGGCCCTGTGACACAAAGGGAGCAGTAGCTGACATTGCCACAGTAGTCCCAGGCCTCTTTGAATGGTCACCGGAGCGGTGCTCCGTGTGGCCCTAAAGGTTGGAACAGATGGAAGGCAGGCACACCATAGTCCAGGCATCACTGAAGGCTAGTGCTCTGGCCCTGCCCCCACACCTTGCCCTGGAGCCCATGGTGGCTGTCAGCTGTGCTGTATTTACCTCTCCTATTTCCATCAGTGGTTCACTTATATCCACACCTCCATAGCCATACTGAAGATCAGCTTCAGTTAATTTGTTCTTCTTAATAAACTGCGTGTTGAGGTACCTGTGGAAACACAAGCATTTCAATCAAGCTCTAGGGCACAAAACATGCAAGAGGCCAAATACTCCAACACATTTGTAACCACACAAATGAGAGTGTAGATGTCTTTGAAAATGACAGTATTTCATAGATAAGACCACTTCTATTAAAACAAAGGCTGCAGGGCCTCCCTTGAGTTAATTCATTTGAACTACAGCATATGTTTACTTTAAAATTACAAGTGACAGAAAATTGGCACAACCGTTGGATGACTGTTCCAATGTCACAGAATCAAAGTTTAAGGCCAGCAGCGATCACCACATCATCTAATCTGTAGAGTCCTGTGTGGACATAAAAAAAGTGCATCTGCCTCCAATCCACATCTGCCAGGCTCAACCCTTCATCCGATTCACTAGCTGGGTTTTACCTTCATCTGCATCTGCACCCAGGCTGTGTCTAGACTGGCAAGTTTTTCCACAAAATCATCTGCTTTTGCGGAAAAATTTGCCAGCTGTTTACACCGGCCGCTTGAATTTCCGGAAAAGCACTGACGATCTCATGTAAGATCGTCAGTGCTTTTCCAGAAATACTATGCTGCTCCCATTCGGGCAAAAGTCTTTTTCCGAAAGACTTTTGCGCAAAAGGGCAAGTGTAGACAGCACAGTAGTGTTTTCCGCAAAAAAAAGCCCCGATCGCCATTTTCTAGCTGTGCCTAGATTGGCCATTAATAGCATTTTCGGAAAATCATGCCAGTGCAGACGTAGCCCCACAGAGGGGCGGGAGTTTTGCAGGAAAGCAGAGGCTGGGGGCAAAGGGACAACATGGAGGCAAGGTCTTAAGAAGGGGTGGGAGGAAGGGAATGGATGTTGCATTGTTTGGTGCTGTTGCTGGGCGCTCATGAATGACAGCACCAAGCAGCAGTACCTTCTGTCATATCACAGCAGCGTGGAAGGGTACAGTGTTGGGGTCCTGTCCGCTTCAATGCCCATAGCAGGCGTAGGCCCTGCTGTTTAGGAATGCAGTCAGAACTGCTGAGCTGGGCCATGAGGTAGGGACTTTGGTGCTGCCCGAAGGGCCTGAGCTACTGGATGGGATGTGGTGCAAAGAGCAGGTGGCGGACAGCCCCTGCCACTCAGGCTCAAACATGCATTACCCCCAGGGCTACCCCAGCAAGCCAGGAGCCCTCACTGTTGACACCAAATTACCTGCCCTGCAGGAGGCGGTCAGGAGTATTCCAGCACCCCAGGTGCTCACAGAGACTGGGAGAGCTAGGGGCAGGTAGCCCAGCCTGTGCCCAGGGTGCTGTCCCCTATCTGTCCCAGAATTCCAGCCCCACTTCCCCCATAGATCCAGCACTGCAAAGCTGGGTCTTCTCTACTTGGATCAGGGCAGTTGACCTCCCCCATGCATGCTCTCAGCTGCAGTAGCTGGTAGTGCCAGAACAGCAGTGAGGGGTGAGCAGCATATCTCCCTGAGCCAGGTCAGTGCTGGCACTGGGCTCCTCGTGCAGAGGGATGTTCGGAATGAGTGAGGTGAACCTCTTGTGCTCTTCCACCAGGAGCAGGGGGCCTGCCTGGCCCCCCGCACTGCCTCCTCTCAGCCCAGCAGCACGGTGGGGTGGCAAGGAGCTCTGTGGAGGTACTTGCATCTGCTTCACTATCGGCAAAAAATGGTCTGTGGATATATAGTGGATACGCAGGACTTCACTAATCTGAACTTCTGTATATTACAGGCCATCAATAACATCCAGCCCCTGCATACTAAATCCAACAACCAAAGTTAGAAAAAATGTTATAACTCTCAGGAGACTAAACTATTATGCACCACAAGCAGAGTACAGGAGGGATCAAGAGGCACCATATCTGGGAATTCATTAAGAGAGAAACCCAGATTATCCCAGTAAGTGACTTGCACTTCATGCTGCAGAGGAAGGTCAATGTATTTAAAATGTATTATAAGCCAAGTGGGCAGGAAGCCTGACTCAGGTTCAGCTTGCGCCAGGTCCGGGAGCTCAGCCCCCCGCCCTGGACAGGGCAACAGGCAGCTGATCCGCAAGGGGAGCTAGTTTTTAAACTTGCTCCCTTTGTGGGCCAACTCCCACCTGGCACCTCACACTGCTGCCTCTGATACAGACACAGCGGGGTGAAGTGACAGGGGCTTCTTCGAGTGGGGCTGGAGAACACTGGCTGCCGGCCCTACGCCTGGGGACTATAGAATAGCTGAGTAACCAATAAAAATTCATGAAGTTAATCAACTATTCAATTAACCAATATTTAACATCCCTACCTTCGATGGACAGTTAGAAATGTTTTTTATTGCCAATTTATGTCATATCTTACTTCTGAATTTGTTCATGGCCAGTTTATTCCCATTGTTCTTGTGCCAACATTTTCCTTTATCTTAAATAACTCTTTAGATAAAATCCAGAAGCGATTCAGAAGTTGTGGGATAGCCTTTTATTTTATTTGTGTAAGATGGAGAAAATACTACCGAGCTAATTCATGAAATGTAATTTTTTTTGTTTACTTCACAGGAATGCAGTACTATTGTCACAAGCAACCAGTGAACTTCATGTTCCTCAAAGTGCAAGGTATGTAAAAAAAAGTGGTTTTTAATATCCACTTTGCAGTTAAGGTCTTAACATTGCTATAGAGGAGGAAAGGGCAAGTAGCATGCTTGACAAGAGCCTTGAGCAGATAAATGATCTCTTCTGCAATAATCCCTCATGTTGAGAGTGAACATGTAATTCAAAATAGGTATACTAATACTGTAGGTGTTGAAACTTGCCTCTAATTTACATTCTAGACAATTATAAAATGCTGTATGACATTTGCTTTTAGATTTCTTGCATGCCATTTCAACTCCAAGTGGGTATCTCCAGCATCTAAGCAGAGCAGCCAGATCAGAGCAAGATTTCCTGTCCAGGGATTCCCCAAGCTCCTGGTGGCAATGGTAGCTTTAACACTACAAACAAAATCCACCCATGAGACACAGGCCTCCGCCCCACTCCTTGCAGCAGCCCCCTGCCCTAGCTTATCTAGAGTGAAAGATCCCCACTACTGGGGCTCAGGCTCTGCCTGGTGGTGGTGGTGGGGAGGGGAGAATAGAGAGGCAGCCCTGCACACGGCCGTTGCCCTTCTTTCTATCTCCCGGCCAGGGGAATAGCAGCACACAGGAGCTCTGTCCATGTGGTGTGTTGCAAGCTCTCTCCTCATCACTCTCACTGGACAAGAACTGTGGTCAATAGGAGGGGTGAGGAGAGATGCCTGCAAATGCAAGGCAGTGCAGAGCCACATGTGCCCACCCAGGATACAGGTGACACAGGAGTCCAAATCCTCTGCCCTCTCTTTCCCAGACAACCATACCACCATCCTGACCCTACTCCTACACCCTACCTCCCACCTAGACCCCTCACCCCATCCCTGGCAGCCCCCTCCCAAACAATGCACCTCTCATTTTGGTACCACAGCACAGCCTGAACAGCCTCCACAAAATTTACTAGCCCCAGGCCCCCAGAATAGTTACTCCAGCCCAAGGGCCAGGTGTGATGGCGCATTGGGGTTTTCCTGTCTCCTGCACCCCCATAATGGCATGGACAGACTCCACCAGACTAGAGGTAGTCTATTGCTTCTCCAGGATACAGCACAGCACCAATGTAATCTGGTTACAGGGCAGGCCTTGAGATGGAGGAGACTGGGCCCCTAAATTCCAGCCCCTTTCCCTAGGCTGTCTCCTCCATGCTCCCAGACAGAAACTAACATACACACTTCCAGCCCTGCCCCCAGCCAGGGGCGGCATTCCACCTTCCTTTGTTTCTCTCCCTGGGGGGGTAGCAGGTCGGACAGGTTGAGACACCCTTGCCTAGTGACTCATCCCCTGTCCTGCTACAGATAGCAACCAGTGGGGGTCACCCACAGCCCCAGCATAGCAACCAGCAAGGTACCCCCACTATATCACACCAGGTGTGAGTCTCTATGCCAGTCTCACTGATGGAGCCGGAACTTGATGGGAAGTGTCTTTTTCCTTGAAGGCCACTGCTAAGAGGAGTGGGGG